TATTATATTATATTATATTATATTTATTATACATGGTTGTATTATACTACATGTATAATAATACAACCGTAAGATCACAAAATAGTTTCTGATGTTGCTTGTTCCATTTTAGACTAGATGTAAGGAAGAAATTTTTTTACACTGAGGGGGGTGAAACCTTGACCCAGGTTGCCCAGAGAGGTGGTACAAGCCCCGTCTCTGGAAACATTCAAGGTCAGGTTGGACGGGGCTCTGAGCAACCTGATCTGGTTGAAGATGTCCCTGCTCACTGCAGGGGGGTTGGACTAGATGGCCTTGAAAGGTTCCTTCCCACCCAAACCAGTCTGTGATTATATGATAATCTTGAAGAGAATTTTTCATCATATTAATATTCCTGTGCTTAAGTGAGAGCTGAGTAGTTTATGGACTAGGCTAAGCTAATAGATTTGTCATAACCTCATACTGGGTTTTGCTACACAGAAGATTATCATTAAATAGAGATACTAGGGGAAATAGCATGATCTGTCTTTTTAAGAGTATAATCTGGCATAATGATTGTCTGGAGTTGGACCATTTGAGACTAGAACTGAATCAGGAAGCCTTGGCTGTTCCTGAATCAGCCTTTACTACTCGAGCTGACCCACTCTTGGAGGTATCTTGGCCAGGCCAGCTCTACTAAAGGGAGGCAGCAGGACTGACTTTTTGGTTTTTTTCAGGCACTATTGTGAGCATAGGAGATCCCAAGAAAAAATACACCAGATATGAAAAAATCGGGCAGGGGTAAGTGTTCACCCCAGCTTTTATCCCCAGTGACCCAGTGTTAAAAATGATGTGCTGTTATCTCATCTGATGTTGTCATGTAGCCACCACTTACTGAAGCAGGCAGAAATTTTGGCTGTATTAAACACTGATAAACAGATGGTGAAGGCTTTACACAGTGGTGGAAATTTTGAATTGTGTCTTTTAATGTGAAAGTGTAGCTCTGTAACTTCTCTCTGAGTGTATCTAGTCCTTTCCTGGTAAGATGCATTCATCTGTTTTGTAATATGACTGTTGAAGAGCATGAGGGCACGTCAGAAGGCTTTCTGTGTGCGAAGCTAACAATTCTGCCTTGACTAAGTTATTCTTCTAGTGGTCCTCTGAATCCTTCTGAGAAAAAAAGTATATACAAGTTCTAGCTTTTCCAGCTTTGATTATACATATGGTAACTCCTACTGTACACTTTCCAAATAGGTCTATGTGTGTTTGTGGGTGGGCTTCCCCTGGGGGAAACTGAAAAATAATACCTACTACAGAAAGAGCTGCCCAGCTTATCTGATCAGAGGAAGCAGCACAAGCTCTGGGGGCTTCAACAGCCTAAATGCAGGAGGCATAGATGGTGTCAGAAGAGACCGTATACGTGATTAGTTTTTGTGTGAACTTAGTGTTGTTCTATGATACCACTTACTTTTAGTAGCCCTGTTTTTGATAAAACTCTTGCAACTTCAGAAGCTGACACAACTTTGTATTTATGATTTGTCTGTTCACCTGCATGTTTGTTACACAGGGAGATGAAACTGGCTGTAACTGTTTTCTTTTTCTTCCCAGGGCTTCAGGCACAGTTTTCACAGCTATTGATGTGGCAACGGGGCAGGAGGTAAGATTTCTGCGTTCATTGCAATGAAAATACTTTGTCTGTATAAATATTCTTCTGTAGGTGGCCGAAATGTTTTGACTAAATTTCTTTCTGTGGCTCCCATGTCTGCTATCACCTCTCAGAAGAATGTTTATCACAGTCATTTGTAACAGTGTGTGCCTTGTTCTGTAGTAATCAGATGATGAAAGCTAAAAATAGAGTTTTGTCTTTCCAGTGAAAAGCAGAGGGAGTGAGGTGTTCCAGAAATGGATTTTGAAAACAGTTTATCCTTCAAGAATTGTGGGTGATGGTTTCCTGTGTTTCAGAAATAAAACTTAGTTTAGTCTTTGCACACTTGTTCTGTAGTCCTGTCTCAGTAGAGGTGATGGGTGCACCTATCTGTATGAAAACAGCTTGCCCCGTATGTTTTTTTTGTTGTAGTTAGAATGCCTTCTCCGCATCCTGCTCTTTGCTTTTACTCCTTAGTGTCTCCAGACTCACTCGATGAAATTGATTACATCAGCAATACTATGCATGCTTGTCCTCCAGTGGTCATCTCTGGTTCCAAGGACTAAAATTTTAGGAATTATTTGCTTCTCTTTAAATTCAAATTTCCTTAATTTTCCTTTAAATATCCTCAAGTAGCCATTCTTTAGGTCACTGATAACTAATTGCCCTTTCATAACCATGTTTACCAGTAGTGTAGTGGAGCACCACATTTTGATAAAGCGCGAGCCTTTCAATCTTCTCAATATGTTGTCTCTTAATCCGATTTGTATGTACTGTGGTACTTCATGTCCTCTTACTGACTGCAGAGTAAATTTTGTAGCACAGTTCCTTTCTTAAACCTCCTCTGTGCCTTGGTAACTGTTGGTGGTGGGCAAGTTGATTCCTTGCAGTCTTTGCGTTAAATGGATGTAGCACTCTGGCTTCCTCAGTGCTTAAAGTCTGAGGGTAGAATTGGGATTGTTCAGTAAGAAGAGAAGGCCAAAGGAGGATTTTAATGTTTTCATTAAATATTAGGGCTGTTTTCAATGCCCTAATGGGAAAGTGTAGAGAATGTGGAGCTAGATTCCTCTTGGAGCTACTCAATGAGAGGACAAGAGGGAACAGACAAAAATTGCCATAAGAGAAATTCTGGTTAGATATTAGAAATTTTTTTCCCTCACAGTCAGGATGATCAAACGTGGGACAGGAGCCCAGAGTGGTTGTGGAATATCTGCTCCTTGAGATCCCTGTTCAAAACTCCATTGCACAAGCCCCTCAGCAACCTGATCCATATTGACTGTTCTTTAAGCATGGGATTGGACTGGATGACCTCCAGAGGTCCCCTCCAATCTCAGTTATTTTGTGATTCTATGCCACAAGTTCTCTTCTTTTAGTGTCCTTGGCAATATGATAATGATAATTTCTACAACATTATATTGGTTCTTGTGTTTAGTTTTGGAATCACGGTTAGGTTATCTTGTCTGAAATACCTTCTCAAAGTGTGGTAGGTAACATAACTGAGTCAGCAGAGTGCCCAGGTGGCCAAGAAGGCCAATGGCATCCTTGCCTGGATCAGCCATAGTGTGGCCAGTAGGACCAGGGAAGTTCTCTTCCCCCTGTACTGGGCACTGGCGAGGCCGCACCTTGAGTGCTGGGTTCAGTGTTGGGCCCCTCACTCCAAGAAGGACATGGAGGTGCTGGAGCGTGTCCAGAGAAGGGCAACGGAGCTGGGGAAGGGTCTGGAGCACAAGTGTGATGAGTTCACGGCTGAGGGAACTGGGGTTTTTGATCCAGGAGAAAAGGAGGCTGAGGAGAGACCTTCTGGCTCTCTCCAACTCCCTGAAAGGAGGGTGCAGAGAGGTGGGGGTGGGTCTGTTCAACCAAGGACCAAGTGACAGGACCAGAGGAAATGGCCTCCAGTTGCACCAAGGGCAGTTGAGATTGGATGTGAGGAAGAATTTCTTTGCAGAAAGGGTTCAGAGGCATTGGCAGGGGTTGCCCAGGGCAGTGGTGGAGTCCCCATCCCTGGAGGGATTGAAGAGTCGTGTAGACACAGTGCTGAGGGACATGGGTTAGTTGGGGACTTGTCAGTGTTGGGTTAATGATTGGACTGGATGATCTTAAAGGTCTTTTCCAATCCAGGCAATTCTGTGATTCTGTAATTCTTCTCTGTTTTAATGTCTCCAATACTTGTCCTGGTTAACTTATTTCCTAGACAAGATAGGTCTTTATCTTCCTCTCTCTCTCTAGGATAGTTTATTTGCTTAATTGCTGTGAGAGGAATTGCATCTGCCTCAAACTCAAACACTAATTTGGTCAGAATATATAAAAACAAATGGCCTTGCCTTGCATTGGAAGGCTTATCCTTTCTCTCTTAGTTGCTACACGAGTCTCTTCTGCTTTAGGCGTGTTGTTATGAAATTGGGCGAGTATCTTTTTATCTCTTGAATGTTTCCTTTGCTGTCTGTTCTGACCTTTTGTTATTGTTTGTGAATCTTTTCAGCTGCAAGAGGATGATGTTGGCTATGGGTGCAAGTTGTATGCTCATCAAGTTGCATTCTTTTAAGTTGTATGTTAATAAATAAATAACTTGCCAGCTGCAAGATGTGCTAAACTCCTTTAACCTTATTACAGAATTTCTTCTAAGTTTTCGCTATATTAAGTATGACTGAAAGGTTTTGATACTCAGGTTTAAGTGATTGCTGTTTTATTTTGTCCTATTAAGGTTGCTATTAAACAGATAAACCTGCAGAAGCAACCCAAGAAGGAGCTGATTATTAATGAGATCTTGGTAATGAAGGAGCTAAAGAACCCCAACATAGTCAACTTCCTGGACAGGTAAATGCAGACAGCTGGCTTATTCCTTCATCTCCAAGGGTTTCAAGAGGTTATAACTTGATACATTTACACAGAGCTGGGCTTCATAGAGAAAAGGAGGCTGAGGGGAGATCTTCTGGCACTCTCCAACTCCCTGAAAGGAGGGTGTAGAGAGGTGGGGGTGGGTCTGTTCAACCAAGGACCAAGTGACAGGACAAGAGGAAATGGCCTCATGTTGCACCAAGGGGAGGTTTAGTTTGGATCTGAGGAAAAATTTCTTCATCGAAGGGTAGTCAAGCATTGGAAGGGGCTGCCCAGGGAGGTGGTGGAGTCACCTTCCCTGGTGGGATTTCAAAGACAGGCAGACAAGGTGCTTAAGGACATGGTTTAGAGGTGGAATTGGTAGTTTTTGGTTTATGGTTGGACTCGATCATCTTAAAGGTCTTTTCCTACCACTACGATTCTGTGATTCTATTATTCCTGTACCTAAGTGTCTTACAAGCAAATAAGACTGTATTTAGACTGTCATCTGGAGGCGGAAGAAAAAATGTCATCTGTTATAAGGAATGGTCTTGAGGATTCAGTAAGAAGGCTTCTTCTGTCATGAATGTAGTCCTACATGTAGTTGGGGATCAGTGAGTGGTGGACAAGAGCACAGCAGGAGCAATGCTTGTGCTGTGTATGAGATACATAGGGTGTTATCCTGCCTGTTTAGGTAGTGAGAAGCACGCAGCTTTTACGAGGTGTTCAAAACCCACCTGGACAGTTTTCTGTGCAACCTCATACTTTAGCAGGGGGGTTGGACTAGATGATCTCCTGAGGTCCCTTCCAACCCCCACCATTCTGTGATTCTGTGTGATTCTTTGATTGTCAGTATTTACATTTCTGGCTACGTTCCAGAGATTAACTTTCTTTACTGTTTGTCTTGAACTGCTTATGAATCATTTCATTGACCAGCTCTTATCAGTCATTTTTCAGTTCTTGATCTCTTGATGGCAAACAGGCATGCTTTTTGTTTTCTGTTTGTAGTTACCTCGTAGGCGATGAGTTGTTTGTGGTGATGGAGTATCTAGCTGGAGGCTCACTAACAGATGTGGTCACAGAAACATGTATGGATGAAGCACAGATTGCTGCTGTTTGCAGAGAGGTGAGTATTATAGTTGATGGGTGGAGAAATGAAGGTGCACTTTATTCCCCCCCTAGGTTTTATGGTACACTTAGGTTAGGACTAATTGTAACAATTGTTGGAGCCATTGAGTTAGGAAGAATGAATGACACTGAGAGCAGAAATCAATATTAAAATCACAGAAAATAACAAAGTGAATTTAACTCAGAAAATTGAGGATTTGCAAGTTGTAACACAAAAGAACTATGGCAATTTTTGAACTGGGTGTTTGGGAATGTTAGGTGATGGAACAAATAAAGATTTTGGTTTTGGTACTTGGGTTGTCTAGTCCTGCTGACAGTGTTAATGGAAAGATATTAATAATGTGGACTGAAGCTCAAGGAGGAGCAACGAAGAAGTTTAGCAGCTGGAAAGAATGTATTTTTTAACTTGGACTAAAAAAGGATATTGAAAGGTATCAGAAAGAAAACTGAATATTCATATATAGGTAATGTAGACAATAGAGATGTGAACCTATTATTAAAAAAGTAAAAGAAAAAAGCCTGAAACCTTCGGAGTTTTTTCCAGAAGGAAGAAGGGGAGCTGTGTTTGCTTAGAGTGTGAAAGTGGATCTGATGAAACAGGAATGCTTTAAGAACCATGTACTAAAATAAAGATGAACTTGATGTAGATAAGTTTTCACAGTGTGTGAAATCTATAGTTCTGTGACAGTTAAGCTTTCTTTATGGATTTCACAGAGAAATAATTCTCTAGAAGATTGTAGCTGGAATAATTTTAAGACTGCAGTGAAATTTCAAATGAAGAGTTAAAAATAGCTGATGTAACAACTTATCAGTGGTTTCTGCCCTAAGTCAGAGTGCCGGCATCCAGCTCAGGCTTGATTTATTATGGCAGAAGGAGAAGTAATTGTATTATCTGCTGTGCAGGAGAAACTTAGCCTTTTAAAAACCCCATTTGACTACATCAACATGACATCTGCTTCTGATGACTCACCCAAAGGGAGGAGATGGAAACAAACTTGTACATGAACGTGTATGGACAGGTAGTGATTTCCAGAGAAACCGGAGCTGGAAGCAGAGAACCGAAAGTAACTATTTACTGTAACAGTAGTTAACTTTCCTGAGGAAAAAGTCTAATATTGTACTTCATAAAAACTCTGCTGCCCAGTGTGTTAAATATGATTCATTCTGCAAATCAACTGCACTTTGCTAAAGCAAAGGAAGACACAAAAAAAATCGCTGCTCACTACATCCATGGCAAGTTGCAAATGGTAAATGTTCTGCTTATATTAAAAGAGAAAAATCTTGCAATCTTTTTTTACCTTTTATTCTCAAATAGCAAAAGTAAATTTTGTTATGTTTTTAGGCAGAAAAATAGTCTGAAAGGTTTTAATCTAAAAACAATGCAAAAACATTGACTTTGAAAATGAAGATGTTTTACAGCCTTCACTGTAGAAGTTGTTACATGTGTATTGAGAATGATGTCTCACCAGTTCCCCTTGGTGAGGCTACAGGCTAAAAACCATTTAATCCTTTATGCTTCCTCTGTAGAATTCGTGGGATGTACCAAAATTAGTATCTGGGATTTTTGAGAGCATCTTGACTGGCTGATGAAGAGTTTAACTTATGGGTTTGTTAAGATAGCAGAGAGATTCCATGGTTAAATGGTTTTTGACTTTATGAGATCTGGAGAGGATTTTTTAGCACAAGAGCTTCCTCTGCTGGTTATTCTAAATAATACCTATTATATTTTTGCACTCAGCACTGGCTGCGGGTGTAAGCATTGTGCTTGAATTTGTATTCATATACAAAAATTGTGTTTCCATATGCTGAATATTCTTTTTTTCCTCCCATCCAGTGCTTGCAAGCACTTGAGTTCCTACATGCCAACCAGGTCATCCACAGAGACATTAAAAGTGACAACGTGCTGTTAGGAATGGATGGATCAGTTAAACTAAGTGAGTTCGAGACAATTGTTTCAATGTTATCTTTTCCTTTTCCAATAAACTTTGACTCAGAGTGGAAATCAGTACAAGGAGAGTTGACAGGGAAATTTTTATTTATTTTTATGAATAATAGAAATTAATTCTGTGTTATAAAACGTATAACTCACAGATAGCAGGGATTGAAATTCTGAGGGCCCTAAGACTTAAGGCTGTGAATGTGTTAGACCAGCAGGATGTTGAAGCAAACCTGTTGCCACATGAATACGTTGGTAAATATGAAGTAACTGGCACCATAAAATGAAGCAAAGATGTGAATGATTGCAAGATAAAAGTTGCAGCTAACTGCAGTTGCTTTGGTAGTCTCTTCATGTTGTCATGGCTTGCTTTTAATGTTTTGCCCTTTTCATTAGATCACTCACAAGAAAATCGTACATTATTAACCATTTATATTGCAGTCTAGTCTTACACTGCACCTCTACTGGGTCTCCTTTTCTTGGACTGAAAGTGTAAAACACTTTCATTAATATAATCATGAAATGACAAAAGAAACTACTTACTTTTCAGGTAATTGTCGTGCATGCATGGACTTGTGTACAGTAAGTCAGTTTCTGGTGTGTGTAAACATCTGTGGCAATAAAAAAAATGTGAAACCACTTGAAGAAGCTGTCAGGATGAGAGAGAGGTGCATTATCTGACTTCTTGGTAGGTAGGAATGTGCAAAGCGTAAAGGGATGGAAGGGACAGTATTTTTACAGTTGGGTAGGAAATTGAAATGCCATGAAAATGTATCTCAGCAATATTCCTTAGTCTAGATGGTTTGCAGGCTCATATTTTTTATGAGATGGAGTGTGAAGAAAGATTATGAGCAACCTGATTTGCTTACCAGCATTGTTGGATGCACCACTTGATGAGGTTTTATTTTTTTTAAGGTTGTGATGTGTTTGTGCACAAACTCTGTGCATTCAGAGGCTGAAGAGAAGTGGATAGTTACAGTAGAGGATGTGGCTGGAGAAGGCACAAAAATATAAGAGCTGTTAAAGCAAAGCAGAGTGGCAAAAGGACAGGGTTAGCAGCCTCTGTAAAAAAGCATTGGCCCAAGGAGACTGGGGGAAGATGAGGAGGAAGGAGAGAGAGGAGAAAATAGGAGTCAGCTGTAAAAATGTATGAAGGGGAGGTATTGTAATCAATGTTGAGACTAGCTCTTTGGCTCTGTGATTATAGAGCTTCTAGCAGTTGCTTAAGGGTAGAGGGTGGAAGAAGTTGTGCCTTCTTTTCAAGCTCTGCCCATTCTCTGGGGGAGTCTGGGAGACTGGTGACAGGACAAGTACAAGATACCAGTCTGCCTGTCACCACGACATACCTACACACACTACTGGTTGGTGAAACTGGGTTCCACATCTTACCTGTCTTTCCTTCCATTGCTGGTGGCTTGGTGCTGAGGGCCTCGTTGGTTGGTCAGGAGACTTGCTCTGCTACTGCTTCTCTGGTGTGTTCATTGAAATAAACTGTGCTTGGAGTTGAGTAAAGACCAAGAAATACTGGCGAGGAACTCAGTGACTCCTATAGGTTTGATTTTGTTTGTTTGTTGGTTTTTGTTGTTTGGTTGTTTGTTTTTTTTTAATGCAGCATTTTGGCAATCAGGGTGGGGGTAGTTCTTTGTTAAATTGTCCTCTTGGTACAATTTAGCACTTTCACGACCTTGGCTCTTCTGTCAGCACTGCGTGGCATAACACTTTCAAAATCGACTTGAAATTTTAAATTCTCTCTCTTTCTCTCTCTCTTTCTCTTTCTCTCTCAAACTTAGTGTCAGTGATAAGATAATATCTGTCTCCTGCCTTAACTGTGTTCTTATTGATGCTTTACATGCCTGGGAAATGGGAGTGCTGCAGCTGGATAAAGTAACATGATGGAACATGCATTGCTGCTGCACCTGAAGGCTATAGGAATAGGTGACTTTTCTTGTTTTCTTGAGTGTGGTTGTTCTCTTTGGTAGTTACCTTGTGGAAAGGTTTGTTTGTCGAGGTTCCTTCTGCTGAGTGGGATAGCACTTCACTTACCTGAAGCCTTGCTTCTTTGTCTTTGTCAGCTGTAGTGCCTGTATTTGATGGCCAGATTGCTGTGAAATATTGAACTCAATAGCTGCACAAATAAAATCTGTTTAGCAGGGCAGAAACCATGGTTTGTGGATTCTTTTTTTTTTTCTAGTTCAGGCTATGTAACATACCATGTGCAGAAAACTTGCCTTCCATGTTCTGATTACTTTTTTTGGCTGTTAACAGTCTAGGATTCTTGAAGAAATGACTGGGCAAAATATTGTTCTTCTACAGAGTGATACTTATGTCCTTTTTTCAGAGGACAAAAAGCCTTATCTTCATTCCATGGAATTCTGCCCTGCTTAAACACCTTCAGGTTTTGTATCTATCTTGTATGTTGGATTTTGTGATGTGGGGGGCAGGGAGGGAAGGAACCACCTCCCCCAAGCCCCTCTCAAGTATAGAGGAGTAAAATATATGTGTAGTAATAGAGAAGTCTTCTAGGAAGCCCATGTACTCGGAGTGCACCAATTTAACTTTTAAAAATTCTGTTATCCTACAGCCGACTTTGGTTTCTGTGCTCAGATCACCCCAGAGCAGAGCAAGCGCAGCACTATGGTTGGAACTCCTTACTGGATGGCTCCTGAAGTGGTCACACGGAAAGCGTACGGCCCTAAAGTGGATATCTGGTCTCTGGGCATCATGGCTATTGAGATGGTGGAAGGAGAACCCCCATACCTCAATGAAAACCCCCTGAGGGTAAGAAGCCCAGATGTAGCTAGAACTGTTTGCAGGTGTTTACCATATGAATGTTTTCAGTAATTCTTTATTAATAGTATCTACATTAAAAAGAAAATGAAACAAAAAAACAATAAGCTTCAGCAGTACAAGAAAATTCCTCCAAAAGGAAGACAGCTGTATTGAATTTGCGGTCAGCCCTACCATGAATTTTTCTGTTTAGAAGATGAGTACCTGCTTGTAACTAAGACATTGGACTTTGAACTCAGTCTTCTGTGATAGTTTAGGGAAAGTAAATCCATTAGGTTATGAAAAATGCTGCTTGTGTCAGATGATGATATTTTCTTTGCCAAGGTAAGTGTCTGTTGCCAAAAGATTTTGAACATTATTTTACTACTAGCAAGAATAGGTCATGACTGCCTATAACTGTGGAATTTTTGCAGTTTTTCATCTCTTCAGGAAGAGGAGTAGGCTGCAGAGCCCTTTCTGAGCTAGACTAAGGGATTGTTGCTTGGCAGGCCAGTTTGGCATCTTTTTAAAATTTGACTTGGTTATACAATATTCCTCATGTTACAGGCTTTATATTTGATAGCAACTAATGGCACACCAGAGCTGCAGAACCCTGAGAAACTGTCCCCAATATTCCGGGATTTTTTGAACCGATGTTTGGAGATGGATGTAGAGAAAAGAGGATCAGCCAAAGAATTGCTACAGGTGAGAATCAGCTTTTTCTCACAATCTGAGATACAGAAGCCATGAGGAAGGCCAACCTGTGATAAACTGTGCCGCAGACTGGCACTCTCTTTTTTGTATTTTCTTCTGAGGACTCCAGTGGAGGGCAGGTGGTAGGAACTAGAGTCATCCCAGATTGTAATATATACTCTCAAGTCTTTCCATCAGTGATCTCTGCTTTCATTCTGCCACTGCTAAAGCATCCAGCAATTTATGAACTTACTGTAATAGAGCCATTGAAGTGAGCAGAATGGGACTGAGAGAAGATGTCTGAGCAGGAAACCTCCTCCTAGTGAATTATTGTAAAAAGGAAAGGCTCTTTTGGGACGAGGAGGCATAATTATCAGGCTTGAGGTGCTCTGGATCTGTCCCTTCAGGCACTGGGCATTGATAGCACTTGCATTGCTTTTCATATGAAAAGGGCTGTGTAGATTTTTGGCTTTTACTGGCTTTTTAAACAGTGTCTTTCATTAATTTACTGTGTTTCTCTCTTCCTGGCAGCATCCCTTCTTGAAGCTGGCCAAACCTCTATCTAGCTTGACGCCACTGATCTTGGCAGCCAAAGAAGCAATGAAGAGTAACCGCTAACATTACTGCCCCAGCCTTTGTCCTTTTTTTTGTTGTTTGTATTTTACAAATCTTTATAATATATGAAATTGTTACATTTCTGGGGGGAGGGAAGGGATTTGGCAAGGGGGGGGTTGGGATGGGATGGGGGGGATGGACACGTCTGCAAAAGGGAAGAAACTCTTATCCAGAAGCCACCCAAAATAAGTTGTGGTGACTCTAGTGATCCTTGCCTGGGATCCAGAAGGAATTGAGAACTGAATTACTGGCCTTATTTTTATTTTTTATTTTTTGCAGACAGCCCAGAAATGCCACTTACTGTGCCTGGGGTTTTAAGGGTTTTTAACAACTTTGCTGTAACAGCTCCCATTCATTGTACCCTTCTGGGTACTTTCAATACTTGAATGACAGATTCAAGCTTTCAGAGAGCAGTACTAATTTTACCTGCTGATCTCTGTCACTCTCCTCTTCCTCCCCTCTGTTTACTTTGAAATCGCTCTAGTAAGCTCCCATATGACTAGATTCATGGCAAGTGTGACAAATGTGAAGGTACATCTTGCCCCTCATTTCTTTTATGGATTAGCTGTTACTGTACTGTAGAATTGACAACTTGGCTACTTAAGAACTCGTTATGTATTGAGATGTTTTTTGCTTTTTAAGATGAATATGGCGAGAGGGGGAAGAGAAGTATTCAGCTGTTTCTCATATGCCTGTGCTCTGTGGACTTTTAATCGAAGATGTGGCCTCTTTGTAGAAACTCAGTGATTGGTCAAGTCTTTGGATATCAGTTTATGGATCTGTAGGTAGGGGTCAGATACTTTATTTATGATCAAATGATCAACTATAGTCAGGGCAAGAAAAAAATTCCAGCTGTCTTCCTGTCTGTTCTTTTTTCCCCCCATTAGACTTGCTGGCCAGAAGCTTAAGGGATAATGTGCTTGGTGCGGTGGGTGGTTCAAAAACATGTATTGTATCTGTGCTCTGACTTGGGCTTTGGAAGTTATGCTGGTGCCTTTGACTCTTTTATGTTACATTTCTCTTCTTTGTATCAAATACATTTTTGTATATGTTGTAATTTTTTTTTCCCCAAGCAAATAATGCAGCAACCTATGGAGTTGTCAGAGTTTTAAGTATTAGAGCTATTTTTTCCAATTTTGTATGTGCTCCATTTGTACTAATGAAATCAGAAGAACAAGTAATCAGATCTGAGGACACTGAAGATACAGGATTTTTTAAAAATCTCATTCAAACTGAAGACTATGAACATCTGGAAATGCCAAAGCACTGTTCTGAGAAGATGAAGGCTGAGAGGGGAGAACAGTGCCGTTAGACCTTCATGGGTTTATTTGACCAGCTAGTTCGGGGCTGAGGAGACGTGACGTGTAACACTGATCCTTTCTCACTGAAGACACTGGACCACCTAGAATGACTGAGGACAAACATTCAATGCAAGATAAAGTGCCTCCCTCTGAAGGACAGTGAGCAACTTGAGCGGTTGGGTTCTTGGGGTGTTACCAGGGGCAAGTGTAGAAAAGCCTGTGCCCCGGCTTCTTCTAGCACTACAGCCTATGCATTTCAACTTCCCCAACAGTTTAATGAAGAGCCAACTGTAGTTACAATGTGCTAAATGATTCTGTGAAAGAATAACCAGTACTTTAGTGGGATTTTCTTGCATTCCCATTGGGGCAGGACCTGGGATGGTTAGGGTTGTGGCTGGGTGTGGACAGAGGAATAAAAATTTTTTGCACACTTTTACAAACATTGCTGGCAGAAGATAGAAGTAATTGTCAGATACTTTCAGTATTTGTATAGCAATAGAGCTAACTGTGTCTTGGGGTCTGGTAGCCAAACTATGACAAAACCAACTTCCTCCTGATGCAGTGTTGCAGTTCAAGTTGCGTTCTGCTCTTATGTAGTAGTCAAAATTTATGTTATGTAAATTATGTCAGCTGCTCCGTCACAGGAATAAATCCCTCTGGCTATAAGCATAAGAATAGTTACAGTTTTAAATTCAAGGAAGTGTCTCGTTCCAGGCAAGTAAATCTAGCTGCCCCCAGCTTGAGCGTGTCTGCCTCCCTGGTCAGATTAAATAGCAAGGAGGCTTGGCTGAGAAAAAAAACCCTGTCGTACCGATGATTCCCTCTTTGTCCATTGCTGGCAATGGACTTTGTGAAACTCCTTGTGCCAGAGTTAAACTGGGAGCTTTTCTTCTTTCTTCTTCTTCTTTTTTTTTTTGTTTTTTTGGATGGCACAATCTAGACAGTAAGATATCTTGCGATACATCTAGGTTTTTTTTTTAAATAGAAAAACATGAAATCATAAGTAATTTTAACTTATTAGTTCACTTTTATTGATAAATGAGAGTGGTTTAAAACATATTTTACAAAATTTGTCCAGTTTAGTCTACTTAGGAGATAACTTCCAAACTTTCAGCCATCTTAGCACACAAAACTTGGCCCAATGCAGAAGTTACCAAAACATATCTCAGTGCTTGCTGTGTGGCCTGGAAAGGTGTTTAGCTCTGAAGCTGAGAAGTGTCCCCATCTCCCCTTTCCCTTGCAGCAGTTTTGTTGTTATGTGGTGAAGTTTCTCACCCTCCGCTGCCAGAAATCAGGGCCAGAGATGTTGCTGGCAGACGAGGAGAGCCAGGAGAAGGTTGCCGTACTGTGCTTTTGTGTCTTGGTGGGTCAGGCATCGCTTTTTTAATGACATCAGCTGGATGTGTCTGCAAGATTGAAAAATATAAGCTGTGTTTTTTTCCCCTGCAGGGAGCAGATGAGCGCTTGATTCTGCTGTATGACTAGGGCAGACAGAGACCAGCCAGAGTTTGAGTAGATGATGATTATGGAAGGGTTGCATTGGAAAATGTCAGGATTCATGTGTCTCACTAGCTCTTGGCTGTTAGCATAAGATCCTGAGTCAGAATCAAATGTCCATGTGAAGCATCATATACAATGGTGTGTTGGTTGGATATATGGAGCTGGGCAGCTTCTGGCTGAGGTGCAAGTGTACAGGGAATGTGTGACTCCTGGGATCATATTGTTATCATAGAATCAACTAGATTTTTCATTAAAAGCAACCATGGCACTGGGAATGTACACTTTGACCTGCCTTAGGTGTTAATGAGCCTAATTGTAGGCTTCCTTCTGGTGCAGGGAGGTGCAAAAGATGGGACTGGAGCAGATGGGAGAGGCTGGGTCCCTTTGTCAGAGGGGATGGTGGGTGGGCTGGGGATGGAGCAAGAAGGTTGGTAAGAGGTTCTCCAGCTGGAGTTGAATAAATAAATGCCTCCGGTCTGTTTTTCCTCACAATGTTAATGAAAACGGAAGTAGGTGCAAGCTTTCTTTTTATTTTTTTTTAACTGTCTTCAGATTTTAATGTTGCCTTTCGTGTAATTTAATCCCATTTTGTTATTTAATTGTTACTGCAATATTAACTACTGTATTTGTTGACTTTGTTTAATAACTATTCTTTCAGGGCTCGAAATAAACTTTTAAAAAGCATTTGGGTTTTTTCCCCCTTCCCCATCATGAGTTTTATACCTTCTACGACAACAGTAGCTGAAAAGAGTCCATGTTTAGATGTCTTAATGAGGTTAACAGAATGTATTTGTTTATAATTAAGGTTCTTAGAAATGTTTTCATGATGATGGATATAATTTTATGCTATGCTAGCCTGTCCTGTTTCTTTTAAAATTGGAATACTTGTCAGTGTCTGTACCAACCTCGTGATAACTGCAAGCTTTCCTTGCTGCCACAAGATGGTTATGCAAACCATAAGTGTTTCTGCAAAATGCTCCAGACCACTGATGGGAGGAGAACGACTCTGAAACACCCTTTTCATCCACCATGGAAAAGACATTGCTTGCTCTTCTTGGAAGGGAGCAAAGCAAAGACCAGCCTACTTCATCACAGTCACATCTTCCACCATCCATTTGCCATAAGGTAGCCTTTTGGGGTGAGACTGATGGGCCAGTAGACTGCAATTATGGCACTATGATGATGTTCCAGTAACTATTCTGATCATGACTGCTCTATTGCACCATGAATATCATCCAGTATCCTGCATATAAGCACTACGGCACAGGAAACATGGGGAATGACCTGTCCTGGTGCTTGCTTGGAAGACACGAGTCCTGGGTCTGCAGCATCTCTGCTGATCAGTGTTGGACCAGCTGAGCCCAATGGGGCGAGGATGCTGGGTGTCAGCTCACCTAGGATGTGGGGTGAGATTGATGGTGCCTGTTGGTAGGCTGCGGAGACTCACTCACATTTTGCATCAAAACTACAAAAACGCTGTGGCATGTTGTCATGGCAACCTAGCTAAAGAAAAGGACAACTAAACAAATTTACTGTGGGGTTGAGACCAGTTCAGTTGAAATCCAGATGAAGTTTATGTGTCTCAGTTGTGATTGTCAAGGACGCAGCATGTTGTGTGTTTCCCATGTGTTATTGGGAAATCGTCTCTTCCCCTTTATTGCATGTTGTACAAGCTTTGCTCATACCACTGACAAAGGGAAATGAAGAAACCACTCATCTTCAGAAGCCTTTTCAACCAGACATGAGAATGTTTTGCACAAAGCACTGTCTCTTCAGGTTAATTAATTTGTTGTAGTATCTTTGTCTTTATATATAATTGACTCTTTATTCATTTAAACTGATGTTCTCTAACTCTTCATTTCAGTGACTTTGCATTTAATTTATGGGGGGAAAAAGCTGACAAGAGGAGGGAGAAGGTGCTTAGTGGAACTTGCTGGTTATCTGGATATTGGTACTTGTGCTGCTGGAAGGAGGGCAGGGTTTTGACTGAACGTGGTTCACACACCTTGAAAATTGCTAGTCCTTGCTTGGTAAATCCTGTTAAGTCTGGTGTGAAATTGTTCATCCCTTGCATATACCTGGCCTAGACTAAAACCAAGAGCAGACCCATCTTTTTGGATCTGTTTATTTAAGAGGGAGTATTTAGAACATTGTTCTTTGAGATAGTGAAATTGGGGGCAACGATTTCTCCCTTTCAGAGATCCTGTTTGATTGCAATG